GGAGAGGATGAGGAGAGGAGAGGAGAGGAGAGGAGAGGAGAGGAGAGGAGAGGAGAGGAGAGGAGAGGAGAGGAACGCGGGGCACCGTCTCTTCAAAACGAGGACCCAACACCACAGGATGGTTGGGAAATAGTATTAGTATCATTTGTAGTATTCGTAATATGATTATTCAAAATATTTGTAGTTTTAATATTCTTCTTCCCTCTGGTATTAATCTTACTCACAATATTCTTCACATTAGTATTCTGAATCCGAGACAGGATGGATTCGGCTTGTACTCGCGATTCGGTTTTCTGCTACGTATGGAGCCAACGGGACCAGGCGGACAGCGACGACGACGACGACGACGACGACGAGGGCGACGAGGACGAGGGGGAGGAGGAAAACGACGACGAGGGGGCAGAGGGCCAGCACCCCCATCCGTCCTATCGGCCCAAGCCAAGAGCAAGGGCAGAAGAAAGGAACGCATCGGGGTCACATTGGAGCCATATTGACACAATCTTGGGTTTGAAAGGGGTCATCTTGGGGTAATCTCGATGTCGTCTTGGGCTCATGGGGTCGTCCCGGGGCCACCTAACATCGGGTTCACGCGGTAGCCTCAGTTCAGTCGGAAGACAGTGGGTTCGTCCTGGTGTTCTCTTGGGGCCGCAGGGTCGCTCTGGGGTCATATTGGGGCCATTGCTTAGCAGGGGTGGGCATCTTGGGGCGACAGGGGTAATCTCGTGATACTTTCGAAACCTTGTTGGGTCCATTGTGTTAAGTGTGCGTTGAATTCTTGGCCCTCTTGGTAGCGTCTTTAGGGCCCTCAGATGGCCCCCGCAGGGACCCACGAGGCCCACGAGGGCCACAAAGAGGGCCCCAAGAAGGCTCCAAGAGGGCCCGAAATTTAGCACAGCGCCAGCACCAGCACCACGGGCAGCCCAGGCAGCACTAGCAGCATCAACGCCAGCAGTAACAGCAGCATCTATAGGAAAAAACAAAAAGAGAGGCGCAGCAACGGAAAGATGATTCCAAGATGAACCCAACAGGGGTTTTGGAAAGGATCACGAGATTACCCCTGTCGCCCCAAGATGCCCACCCCTGCTGAACAATGGCCCCAATATGACCCCAGAGCAGCCCTGCGGCCCCAAGAGAACACGGAGACGAACACATTGTCTTCCGACTGAACGCGACTCCATGTTACTCCGAGGTGGCCCCAGGACGACCCCATGAGCCCAAGACGACTTCGAGATTGCCCAAAGATGACGTTTTTGATCCCGAGATGATCCCAAGATTGTGTCAATATGGCTCCAATGTGACTCCGATGCGGTTCTTCCTTCTCCCCTTGCTCTTGGCTTGGGCCGATAGGACGAATGGGGGTGCTGGCCCTCCACCCCCTCGTCGTCGACTTCTTCCTCCTCCCCCACGTCCTCGTCGCCCTCGTCGTCGTCGTCGTCGCTGTCCGCCTGGCCCCGCTGGCCCGATACACAGCAGAAAACAAAGTCCCGAACACCAAGCAAATCCATCAAATATCTGATTGATTAATATGACTTATTTTGTTATTGATATTAGAATTAGTAATATGCTTATCAATATTACATGTCATGATTATGATTTTTATCTTATGACCACTCTTACTATCATTATTACTAATAGTATTGCGATTGAACTTGATATTATTATGCATAGTACAATGATGACTCCTATTTATAATATCATAATGATGAAATTTCATAATATTATTCCTCCTCCTCCTCATCATCGTCATCATCAACAGCATCATCATCATCATCATCATCATCATCGTCATCATCATCATCATCCTCCTCCTCCTCCTCCTCCTCCTCCTCCTCCTCATCATCATCATCATCATCATCATCATCATCATCATCATCATCATCATCATCATCATCATCATCATCATCATCATCATCATCATCATCATCATCATCATCATCATCCTCCTCCTCCTCTCCTCCTCCTTCTCCTCCTCTCCTCCTCATCATCATCATCATCATCATCATATCATCATCCTCATCATCATCATCATCATCATCATCATCATCCTCCTCCTCCTCCTCCTCCTCCTCATCCTCCTCCTCATCCTCCTCCTCCTCCTCCTCCCTCTCCTCCCTCCTCCTCCTCCCTCCTCCTCCTCCTCCTCCTCCTCCTCCTCCTCCTCCTCCTCCTCCTCCTCCTCCTCCTCCTCCTCCTCCTCCATTCCTCGGAATCCCCGAGGACCTCACCACGCGGCCCATCACTGCCTGGCCTCGGGGACCCTGGAGGCCCCGGCCCCCCGAGGCGCCCCTGGAGAGCGACCCGAGTCCCGAAGCCGTGCCGAGGATCGGGGAGGCCCCGACACGGCGCAGCGAGACAGACCGCGCGGCACCCTCGGCATCCCCAAGGACCTCACCGCGCGGCCCGTCCCCGCTTGGTCTTCCCAGAGATCCCGGCAGAGTGGAGCGGCGGGATCTGGGCTGTTCTCGGACTCCAGGGGGCCCTCGCCGGGCCTCGAAAGCGCCGAAAAACGGCTCGGGACGAAAAGCCGGCCCCGGGGGAAGAGGTCCGGGCCTCCGGGGCCCACGCATCGAAAAAGTTGGCGCGGCCGGGTGTCTGGGGTTTCTTGGGACCCTGGAGACCCCACTCCCTCGGGGCGTCCTCGGAGGGCGACCCAGGTCCCGAAGCCGTGCGGTCACCCCAAATCTCAGGTTGGGCATATCCTCCTACGGGCGGATTTTCAAGTTGGAAGTAAGTCAAAAATAATCGAAAGTAGTCAAGAGAGCAAGAAAAACCGTCCCCATAATATAATTTTACAATTTGTTTATTTTCCTCCTGTAGAGGGACACTTCCGACTTACAGCAGGAGCTCGACCAAAAGAAACCTTCCACAAGAAACCCCAATCCTGAGACCCCGGTACGTCCATTCATGTCTGGTGTGGGAACGCCGCTCTTGCCATTGCAAAACCACGGCGACGACCACGACGGCGACGACGGCGACGACGCCGCCGCCGCCGACGACGACGACGACGACGCCGCGGATCGATCAGCCCCAGACGACCACGGTTCTCCGGTAGCGCAGACTGCCCGATGTCGGCCGAGCCTGGGCCTCTGGCAGCGCTCTACCCCTGGGGTCGCCCTAGACTCGCCGCAGCGCCGACGCGGCGAGGACCCAGCGTCGGTTTTTCTCCGTGCCCCCGAGCCTCCCGCAGCCTTGTCCGCGCGGCCAGCTCGCTCGTCGCCGCTCTGTCTCGCCGCGCCTCGGCGGCCGCCTCCGCGTCTGTGGCGCGCTCGTGCGCGAGGGGCTGGACGTTGTCCGCGTCCCGCTCCGCCTGGTGCTGCGGGCGTCGCCGTCGCCGACGCTGCCGAGGCGGCCGCGAAATCGCATGCGACGTCGTCGTCGTCGTCGTCGTCGTCGCCGCCGTCGTCGTCGTCGTCGACGTCGTCGTCGTCGTGGTCGTCGTCGTCGTGGTCGTCGTCGCCGTCGTCGTGGTCGTGGTCGACGTCGTGGTCGTCATCGTCGTGGTCGTGGTCGTCGACGTCGTCCTCAACGGCGCCGCCGACATCGCCATCGTCTTCGAGGGGGCGCCCGCGCGTCGCCGTCCGCCGTCGTCAGCGCAAGCCGTCACCGCCGGCGTCACAGAGGCGGCCGCGAAACTGAACGTGCCGTCGCCGTCGCCGCCGCAGTCGTCGTCGCCGCCGTCGCAGTCGTAGCCGCCGCCGCCGCCGTCGTCGTCGCCGCCAGCGCAGTTGTCGTCGTCGTCGTCGTCATCGTCGTCGTCGTCGTCGTCGTCGCCGCCGCCGCCGTCGTCGCCGCCGCCGCCGTCGGGGTCGTCGTCGTCGTCGTCGTCGTCGTCGTCGTCGTCGTCGTCGTCGTCGTCGTCGTCGTCGTCGTCGTCGTCGTCGTCGTCGTCGTCGTCAGTGGCCCCGCCGATGTCGCCAGCGTCGTCGAGGGGGGCGCCCGCGCTGCGCCTTGTCCGCTCGCAGCCTGTGGAGGCGGGCGCGCTCGACCTCTCGCTCCAGGCGCGCCCTGTCCTGCGCCCGCTTGAACCTCCACGCCTCCTCGCGCTCCTCCCTCTGGCTCCGTGGGTCCGTGGGCCACGACCAGATGGAGGGGAAAAAGAATACGAGAACGGCGCCCTTGCACCGCACCATGCCTGGATTCCCTTCAGGCCCCGCTCCAACGCGGTACGGCGCAAACTTAACAATCCCATGCCTGGGTCGAGGATCGACGACGCCTCGGAGACGCGCAAGCGGTACGGTGCACACAGATCGACCGCGGAAGAAATGGCGCAGACGTCAGCGCGCCAGGGAGGGGTGTCCAGCGCCGATCCAGAAGATTCCCGCGGGCCTCTGAGAGTAAATTTGTATGCCTTCGGCCAAAGGTAACCACCCTGCCCCCATCCTGGTGCTGGCAGGATGGCTACAATCGGCGAGGTTTGCCACAGGGGGCTGGACGTCATGCCCAGTGGCCAGCCACGGCGGCGGCGACTGCCGCAAGCAACTCCGCCACTGCCTCCCTCCCCCGTTCCCTTCCCCCTCTCCTCATTATTGATATTATTATCCTCCTCCTCCTCCTCCTCCTCCTCAACCTCCAACTCCCCTCTTCCTCCTCCTCCTCCTCCTCCTCCGCCCCCTCCTCCTCCTCCTCCTCCACATCCTTCAACCCTCCTCCTCCTCCTCCTCATCCTCTTCTTCTTCGTCCTCCTCCTCCTCCTCCGCCTCTTTCTGCTCATCCTCATCCCGTCATCCTTCATTGCTTTCCTTATGAATAACTCCTCGCTGTCGCACCCCGAGGGAAGTCAGAAGGGCGCGCTGGGCGTTTTGTCTGAGACTTTCTCCCCGTCTATGATCATGAAGCTAATCGACAGTTTCACAGATGGAGGGCGGGCGGTTTTCAAAGTGTGGCTCTCGCCTTAGCGCCGCGCACATTCGCCTTCAAGATGTGCAAGAGCTTGACGGATTGAGGACGGGTCGTTTCCAAAATGCGGCTCTCGCCTGAGCGCAGCGCACATTCAGTTTAAAAGTTTGCGAGAGCTTCACGGACTGAGGAAGATTCCTTTTCAAAATGTGGTTCTCACCTTACCGCCGCGCACACTCGTTTGCGACATGTGCAAAAGTTTCACTGGCTCCCATGGTTAATGTACCAGAAATGGCGTGTTGGAACGATTCAGGATTGCTAGGGCACAAGAGTTACGTTGATTCGTGGTGTGGAAGCTTCAGGGATGGTCATCTAGCACGGCTCATAATCCTCAAGACGCAACAGTCAAGTTGAGTCGTGGCGTTGGAACCCCGGGAATGGTGTTTGGGCACGCTTCAGAATCTTCAGACGGTTGTTTTCGAACGAGGCACTTCCCTCAGTGGAAATGAACCCTTGCAGGGACCCATGAAGAGAAAGCTTGGAGAGCGGGATTATTCCATCATCATGGACGATCTTGGGTTTACACTCGTCTTCCTTCTCATCCTTTCCCTCCTCCTCATCCTTCTCCTCCCCCTCCTCCTCGTGGGCAGCTGTGTGGGCGTCAGGGGCTGGCACTGTGCATGCGGCTGAGCATGGGGACTGGTGGGACGCGACGGCAGCCCTTGTGAGGCGCCGCGCACGCAAGGCCCTCCAGCTCGCCCTCGAAGCCGATTCTGCCAAAGCCGAGCGAATACCCCAGCAGCGTGTTTCCCCTCCCTCGAATCGGCGAGCGGCCAACGAGTTCAGCCCACTCGCTTCGTCCTGTCAGCCTGGAATGGCAGCGCAGTGTCTGCCAGCAGCTGGTACACTGCTCCTCCTCGAATTCTGAGAGACACCCTGCCGTGCGCCTGCACAAACCAGGCCGTGTCGGGAGGCGCAGCTGCCGCGTGCAAACCCGGAGCCCCACAGCAGGGGGTGGCAGCAGAGACTCACCCCTCCCATAGGTGCGGGTGGTGGGGGGCCTACTCCCTTCACTACTGCCGCGAGAGCGGCCGAACGGCCACGGCCAGAGAACTTGTCCAGGACGGCCGAGGGGCTCCATCCCACACGGGAGAGAGCCCCCGAGGCGACCCGAGCTGCTGCGTGTCTGGCCCAGGAAGCGGAGGTGGCCCAGCAAGCGGCCAATCGCCGAGAGCTCAAGGCCCGTAAGGGTGGGGACGGCTCCGCGGGGTCCAGTGGGGCCCGGGAGGGGGGAGAATGGGCCAGGGACGAGCGCTGCAGAGGTGCAGATCGCGCAGCTCGACCCAGAGGAAGGGGCGGCGGCGAGGCCGTTTGACGCGCGCACAGGCCAGGCGGAGGAAGGTAACTCGAGCAAGGTGCCCCCAAAGGCCCCCATGGGAAAGAGGTCGGCCTGACCCCTGGTCCAGCTTCGCCGGCACCCGCGGCCGAGAGTTCAGCATGGAGCACGGAATGAGAAAGGGCACCTGCTGTGTCTGGCGTCGGCTTCGGCTCTCGTCCAGGGTTGGCTTTGGCTGTCGCTCGCGCGTGCTGCACGTCACTGGAGTCCGTTTGAAGGCGTTTCTTTATGTTCGGCGATGACGATGACGGGCGTCATGGGGGGGGGGGGGGGGGGGGGGGGGGGGGGGATGACGTGACGCCCCCCCCCGCCGAGTGGCTCCAGCACCACAGCCGCGCCCGCGCGCACGACGCGACGAGCGACGACCGACGAGCGACGACGACGACGCGAGCAGCATGTAAGCGGCGATCTGCCCATTGCGCCTGTGTACACCACAACGCTCGCGTGCACCACAACGCGCGCGTGCACCACAGCGCCTGCGTACCCCGCAACAGCCGTGTGCAACGCACCGCCCGTGTATACCACAATACTTGGGAGCACTACAGCGCCGGTGTACATACACCGCAGCAGCCATGTGCAACACAACGCTTGTGTACACCACAGTGCTTGCGTGCACCACAGCGCCTGTGCACGCCACAGCGCCTGTCTACACCACAGCATCCGCGTGCAACGCAGCGCCGATGTACACCACAGTGCCTGCGTGCATATGACAGGTAGAAGGAGCATGTACGTCAGGATCAGATGCGGATAACTAAACGCCACGCCACGAAAGTTCTGAGAATCGAATGCGACGTTTTTCCCTCCCCCGTCTTCCTCCACCTCCTCCTCCTCCTCCTCCTCGTCCTCCTTTGCCTCCTTTTTACCCCCTGTCGTGCGGTTTGGCGTTACAACGCACGTGCGCATCTCAGCGTGCACCGCAGAATGGTCGATTGAATCGGTCCACTTGGTTCTCGGACGGCCAGTTTAGCTGGAGCCTCCTGGACGGGAATTAGGGTGATGCGGGCGGACTCGGGAGGACTCGTAGATTCCAGCGTCGCTCCTGTTTTCCATTGTTTTCTCTGGAATCCACACGCGCTCCATTTTGTCACATGGATTCCTTCCGAAATCCTATACACAACAATGGTGCTGTGTTGCACACGCCTGATGTGGTGCACACAGGCACCGTGGCGTACACAGGCACTGCAATGCACGCAGGCATTGTGGTGTACACTGGTGCTGTGTTGCGCACGGCTGATGTGGTGTACGGAGGCGCTGTGGTGTACACAGGAACTGTTGTGCCCGCAGGCACGGTTGCACAAACTGACGCTGTGTTGCATGCGGCTGCTGTGGTGTACATCGGCGGCGTGGTGTACGCAGGCGCTGTGGTGCACGCGGGCACTGTGATATACACAGGCGTTGTGGTGCATATCGCCACCTACATGTTCGTGCTACCCGTCCTCCGTCATTCCTAACCATTCCCAGACGCCGCCGGCGCGAAACGTGACGTCATCGACCCCCTCCCCCCCCAGATGATTGCCGTCATCGGCCCGGAATTAAAAACAGGCTCCAGCCGCGTCCGCGCGCACGACGACGATGAGCGACGAGCGACGAACCACGAGCGACGACGACGAACGACGACGACGACGACGACGACGACGACGACGACGCCTGCGGACCAGACACCTATGCGGATTCCCACGCGGACACCTACGCGGACACCTACGCGGATCCCAATGCGCACGGCGGCAGTGCCCGGAGCGCACTGGGGGGGGGGGGGGGGGAGCGTTACGTCATAGGGGGGGGGGGAGCGGGGGCCATGACGCCCGTCATGGCCCAAGCAATAAAGAAATAGCCTCTTTTCAGAATCCTCCTCCTTATCCTCTTCTTCTCTTTCCCCCATACCTTTTTCCTTTTAGACAAATCGCTCAAATCGCGGCACCAGAGGTGCCAGTATGGCAAGCCAGACGTTTCGCCTGCAGCGTCCCACAACTTATGATCTCGACGAATGAAAAGTTCAGTGGTTACACGGATGGGATGCGGGTGGTTTTCAAAAATGGGGCGCTCGCCTGGGCGCCGCGCACACTCGCTCAAAATACCAGCTATAGTGATACCGTTGAATGAAAAATACTGTGCGTCAAAAGGTGGGGGACCACTTCAAATCCACACACACCCGCGCCCCCCCGGCCTTAAAATTGGGAGATTGGTCCCGGAAATGAGCGGCCAGAGAAGAACAAAAAAGCAAATGATCTCGATCGCAACGCATTCCAAGATTAAGGCCGTGGAGGGGAAGGGGGGGATTCGGATTTTTGTCGTCGGAGCGTTGTTGATGAAAAGTTTGTTCCTTCAACCGTATAAGTCTGCTCCTTGTTCAAATAGGGTCCCCGTATATGGTCTCCCGCATTTCACGACCCGAAATTCAACACGATGCAGCAGCTACACGGCTGGAAGGCGGATGTTTGTGTAAAATGTGGTGATCGTTCGAAATTTCCTGGGTGTTTGTGGCATTGCCGATGCAACTTATGCGAAAGTGAGCAGCACTTACACGGACGGGGGGCACATCCGTTTCAAACCACGGCTACATACGCAAAACGAACGTTTCCCTTCTAAGGTGCGAACGGCGATGATAAGTTCGCGACACGGCATCGGCAACGCCGAACGCACGGCGTGAACGAGCTGATTGCAACAACCAAGAGGCGCGGAGAGTTGAGGGGAGTGCGCGAGACAGCGCAGGACCCGTCCTGGGAGCTTGATGATCGAACCCTCTTTCCCCCGTTGAATGTAAACATAAGCGGGTTGCGGTTGCAAAGTCCGCGGATCTGCTGCCTTCAGGTTTTCCACTTACGTTTACTCGTACACTATGATAACGGAATAGACATCGGATCCGTGCGAAAAAACAAAACGAACATTGGATCCACAGCA